ACAAGAAACACCTATAAATTAATTTTCCATGACATGGCTTTCAGCATTTTAGGATAACGCTGTTGCTCATATTTGATTCGTATAATTGGTTAAGCATGAAATTTAAAGTTTCACCACAGATGACGGTACATTAACAAACAAAACAGAAAAGAAACTATTGTTCTACAGTTTAGGAGGCACAATTCATGAAACAAAATCGATAGTTGCTAGTAACGGAAGCATTTTTAGAGAAGCTGCTAAAACCACGACTCATACACATACACTGCATCCATTAAAATGAAATGTGTGGACTGTGAACAATATTCAAGCACCAACCATGCAAATCAGAAACAGAAAATGATGCACCAGAAATAAAGAATGAAAAGAATAAAATTTGTAACTCACAAGCATTTGCAGGGCACCATCTTTCTCAATGCGTGGCTCTGGTATGCATCTAAGAATTGCCTCAAAAAGGGGTCCTAGGTCATCAGCTAAATTATCTGGAGATAGACCAGCCTTTCCTTTAATTCCACTTGCATAGACTGTTTGGAAATCACACTGGCATGTTGAAATAAAACATGAACATGTGGATTAGGACAAGACGCGTGTTGATAAACTGAAAACAAATTATATGAACAATAGGATAGCCATAATTGTTTACCTGTTCATCAGTTGCATTTAATTCAATAAATAGTTCAAATGTTGAATTCACCACAAACTCAGGACGAGCAGTAGGTCTGTCGATCTTGTTTACAACTACAACAACAGCATGTCCAAATTCTAGAGCTTTCTTCAAAACAAACCTTGTCTGTGGCATAGGCCCCTCTACAGAATCAACCTATATAGCAGATAAGCTTCAATTAAGTAGAGGTTATATACAATATATACCACATTAGTGGTCTACCTACTGTTTTTTTCTTAAAAAAGGAGGATATACACTTGTTTCCTCAATGTAGATTAATACACTATTGAGAAAACCAGTTTGATAGGGGCTTGGTACCATGCAGCGAAAAAGGGAATATGTACACATCATGCGAGTACAATGTTTGATTGAATATATACAAAAGGCACGTAAAAAATTGGTAGCATCCCATGACTATGTATGGGACAACTAACTGCAGTAAAGCACATAAAAATCCTAAAAATGTGTCAAGTCCAAAAATAACCAAAACATGAAAGGAGAAAAAAGTCACTGTTTGGGAAATAAAACAAAGTCAAGTAGCTAGTACCACTAGCAGAACTCCTTCCACCATGTTGAGAACACGCTCAACCTCCCCGCCAAAATCTGAATGCCCAGGAGTATCAATTATATTGATTTTAGTGCCCTTATAGGTTATTGATGTATTCTTGCTCAGAATCGTGATTCCTCTTTCCCGTTCTAGGTCATTGGAGTCCATTATTCTTTCCTGCACAACTTGATTATCTCGGAAAACCTGCATAAGTTAAGCAATTAGTTTAATCCAACAAGGAGATAATTTCACAGTAAATGCAATACTGATTTTTGCTACAACATGGTGAGAGAATGGTGATCCGATTAAAGCAAGTTCAACAAATGGTTTATAATTTATCTCGTCTCCGTTGTTATAAACTCCTTTAATATGTTTTAATTTAACACTGATTTGTACTTTTGTAGTCTACTAGTCTTGTAGAGGTAATGCCCCAGACTGAATAAAGAGACACTATTTTACTTAATAAACAATCCAGATAGTTCAATGAAACCAACCAAACTGAGTGAATAAAACTAAGCAATAGGCTTCTTGTGGGATGGATGGAAGCAATGTTTTTGAGGCGTCGCCTAGTCGTCGCCTAGGCGACAAGGCGTGGTTGAGGGCCTGGGCGTCGGGGTCGCCACGACCTCAGCGTGTATGGCGTCCGCCTCATAGGATTAGGCGTCGCCTAGGCGCGAATGGCGTCGGGCGGATGCCGGATGCCGGTCGTAGGGGAAGGGCGCCAAAAGGAGCGCGGCCCCGGGGGAGATCGACCGCGCGCCCGCGGGAAAAGTAAGAGGCGCGGGAAATCGACCGCGCGTGCGCCCAGGTAGCCTCTTCGCGTGGGAAATCTACCGCGCGAGTCATTTACCGCGAGTGCGGGCGAGGGGAGAGGAAGAGAGAAGGCGGCGGACGGACCTCGACCTCCGCTGGGCTGCTACTCTGCTCGTGTCCACCGGCCGGCCGCCCCTGCCGCGGAGCCGGCCCTGCATCTCCGCTTGGTCGTCCGCCGCTGCCGCGGAGCCGCTCCAGCATCATCGCACATCGCTGCTGCGGTCACCACCTGCTCGTGTGACTCTGCCTTGAGTCTTCCTCCGTCGACCCGCCTGTTGACTGCGCCTCCGTCGGGTACTTCCCCTTCCGCCTGGTATGCCCCCCGCCTCCACTCGGCTATTCCGCCCGGTATGCCCCCCGCCTCCACTCTGCTTTTCCAAATCTCGTGTACTCTGCTGTCTGCTCTGCTTGTACTGCTGCTCTGAAGTCTGAATATTGTATACTCTCTGCTCTGCCTCCTCGTGCTCTGCTCTGAATCTGGATATTGTATACTCTCTGCTATGCTATGCTATGCTATGCTCTGTCTGCTCTGAATATGGCGTGTGCTCTGCTTTCCCAAACATAAGGCTCTTGCTTTCTTTTATGTAGCATCCAGCAACATGGCAAGCTCAAGTGAAGCACCTGATTATGATCCCAAGACTGATCCAGCAAGGAAAGCGAAGTCCAATGATCCAGGCTGGAAATATGCCTACTGGCAGGACCCTGCTAGGAGAGACCGGGTGACATGTATCCTGTGTGGAAATGAGGCTTCAGGAGTGTTATGTGGTTGCTAGGATTGAGAGGGAGAGAGCTGAGGGAGAGGTGGCGACGGTCGGGCTACTGTTTGCGCAGGCGGGGAGAGATGTTATGACCGGCATCCCCTATGCCAGGCGCAGGCCCAATAGTGGCTAGGGGGCCGGTCTGTTAAGGGGCTTAGAGGCCCAATTTATCGCTTATTTGGTATTTTCTTAGAGATATATATAGTTCCTTAATTATAGCATCTATAGGGAAGGATAAATACTTGTAATCGGGGATGATTAGAATTAAGCAGAAAGCAACAATTAAGTTGTTGGCTTCCCTTGGGAGCCAGCCGTCCCTGCCCTCTCTCCCTCGCGTGAACAGTACCCGCGTTACCTAACATGTTTGTATTCCAACACAATCTTTTTCTCGGACTCAATTCTCGTAAAAGTCAAATGATTGAGCAACCAGATGATGAGAAAACAATACATACCGGATGCTAACCTAACATGTTTGTATTAGACCATTTAAAGCAGTTCTGTTAAACTAACTAACCGAACAACGGAAACAAATAATAGTTGACTATCCATGCAAAACAAGTAAAAACAATCCAGCCAATACAAATTCAGATGTTCAGTCAGTATAGGAGCACCATCACTCTGTATAAGTGGCAATTAACATGCTACAACAAAGATATGGAGCAACAGTTAAAGGTGGTAATAGTCTTGAACATGATATATCTGTGAGCATATAGATTGAATGGTGGAGAGATTCACTTTGCAATAAATCTCTGATAAACATAATCACAAAGGTAACAAATGCATACTAGAATGTACCTTGGCTTGCCTTAACATTGAATCCACCAAAGTTGTCTTCCCATGATCAACATGAGCAACAATTGCTATATTCCTCACATCTCTTCTAGTTGCTTGACTACTCTTCCCTGCTGAATAATCCAGTGAAGAATGTACATTAAATTGGCATTGTTTCAACAGAAAAGAAGGAAAGTCGGCCGACGCAGATAGACAACAAAATGGCTTGAAGGAAATTTTGGGACAATAAGCGGTCACTCAATGCTTCTAGGAAAATTGATGAATTTGGAAATTTGAATTTCCACAGAGTGTAGGGCATGATATAAAAATGCAGATGTCATCGATATGGACCACTACGGCACTACTTTGATAAAACCCGATGGTGTAGCCGACAATATGGCGATCTATCATCAAGTTTCATTAAGCGCCAAGGACTAACTGCTCAATCATGCATTAATTAAGGCTTTGGTAGCTATCAGCTTTCTTGAACCCGTGATTGTTGCAATGGAGAGAAATGCATCCTTGTGTGACTTGTTCATCTAATTACAGAAACAGGCAAACAGAGTTGTAGGCTTGTAGCAATAGGTTGCTCAAACGTTCCATGAACAGAAAACCGTGGAGCCTGACAGATAGAGCTATCAAGTTATGCAAAAGAACACATCAGAAGCCCACTGAAATGGACTCATGAGCTCGTTATGTTAAATTACTAATCAGAAAGTAAATCAGTGATCAACTCATGAGGGCACTAATCTAACCTCGATGCCGTTCACTGATCAAGCAAAAAAAAACGTACAACACCCAGGGGCGGAGCTTCCCATATGGTAAGGTATGGCGCTTGCCATACCTTGATTTTCCTGGAACTCATACCCCAAAATCACACCTCCTGCCATGAATGTTTCAAAGAGTTCAAGAACTGCTAGTCTGCTGCTCTGAAGAAGAACAGTATGTTTAAAGCTGAATCGGTATCTTGTATATCATATCTGGGCTGCAGGCTGCTTGTGGGCTTATGTGGCTTGCTAGCAAGGGCCCAATTAAGATAGCGTCCAGGTCCAGGCACTGCTCATGAGAGCTACGATGGAGAGCAGACCAAGAGCCGCCATTCAGAAGTTCGGAACCTTTCGTATACCCGTCGCAGTGCCCTAGCTTCCTCGATCAATCGGCCATTGGCCATCGCCCATCGTGGATCAGTAGTGGTGCTCCGCCGTCCTGGCCCTGGCCTGGGCATCGCCTTCGTCAATTCACGCGAGGAGTGAACGAACCAGCAAACTGCAAACGGTGGACAGCAGGACAGGGCAACGCTCATACTCCTCTCTCTGTCCAATTCCATCAGGGATCAGCCGATCAAGGTAATTTAATTTATTCTATTGTTTATTGTATTGTATTTGTTGGAATGTTGGGTAATTAATTAATAACTTGTTGATTAATTTCTGAACCATATTATTGACAGAACATGGATCCAAAAGAAAAGGGCAAGGTCAATACCAAAAGGCTCAAAACAAAAGGTAATAAGGTATACTGTAATCTCAATATCTCATAGAGTTATAGATGGCAACTGGCACATTTGATACATAAAACTAATTGGAATTTCTGCTCATAAATCCTAATACACTTTAGTTACTGATTGGTGTGGTCGAATGCAGATTTGACGACCTTTTGGTCTAGTGGCATCACCTCCAATTTTTCTCCCCGTGAAGCTGCAGCAGCAAATGTTCCATATGTTGAAGACCAAGGGGGAGAGGAAGATGACTATAACTCAGATGCTGAGTTTGAACAGGCTGTGTATGCAGTAGAAGAGGAGATGGAAGGGGACAGGGCAACCATACAAAAAGAAGAGGAGATTGAAAATCATATAGAAGCCGAGATGGTGGAATCTGATGCACAGCCTGAAGGTATTATAACTCAGTTCAACCCAGATCACATTATCACTGATCCGGGACTTCGTATACCAATTGATCAATTTCATGTGGACATTAGAAGTGATGTTAGGAGGGCTTACATAGCAAAGGGACCAACTCAACCAACTGGTTATAATTTTCCTAAAACAGGGAAAAATAGATGCTTTCATGAAAAGTGGTTCAAGAAACATCCTTGGCTTGAATACAGTGTCGAAAAGAATAAGGCTTATTGTTTCTATTGTTATCTTTTTAAGCAAGATCGCATGGATGACAAATTGACCTCGAGAAAATTAAGAAAGCATTCCAGAAGAAGAAAGATAGGAAAGTGCAATTACCTAGATCTCCTAGACGCAACTAAAGCTTCATTGTCACTCGGTTTGTCTCTTGATTTCACTTGCACCTTTTTAGTATTCTTCTTTGACGTTAGATTTCTTCTATATATTATTTATATATTTTTGTTTGTATATTTCATGCTTGATGAACGAAATTCATTAAATTTTACATGTATACAAAGCAACATTAGTTTTAAATCTTATGCTACCTAATAAGTAGCTATATTCTCTAGTTCGGCATCCCGCCACACCTCAATTTAATTTCTTCCTCCGCCACTGACAACACCGTTCGTGGAATTGAGAAATTAGAGAGAGAAAGGAAGCAGGAGTTGGTTTACCGGAGGGAGCCGGGGAGCCGGCGACTTCCTTGACCTGCTCGAGAGAGGCAGAGGCCCTGAGAGAGCGGGTTCTCCCGCGTCGGAGCGAGCCGGGGGCACGCAGCAGGCACCTTCGGGAGGCGGCGAGGTGCGCGGAGCTGGCCGACGGCGGCGTGGAGCGGCGGGCGGAGGGGCCGGCGCGTAGGGTGAGGGTCTGCATCTGCATGGTGGCCGGTGGTAGAGGGGGTGCCGCGGCGGGTGGCTGCGGATGGGGTTAGGAGGTTTTGTAAGGCGGGCGGGGAGCGGGAGTCGGGAGTGGCGGTGGAGCCCCGGCGGATCGCGGCCACCAAGCTACCTGACTCGGGTGAGTGTACCGCTGCAAGGGAAGCCACGTCGGCCGCCGGCGCGCAATCTTGGTCCTTGGAAAAGCGGGAGAAAATCCATCTTCTTTTTCGCCTTTTCCATTTTATTTACCACGAGTATACTCCCTCGGAAGTCGTTTTATGGGTTTAGATGATTTGCACAAATCAAGTCGTTTAGCCTCTGTTAACACTTTTTTGGACGCGTTTGCCCTCGGCTCCTGTTCCTTGTGCTTCATTAATCACGACGCTAGCCTTGCTTCGTTAATCGCGACGCCGAGGCCGCAGTCAGTGACTCGGTGCGTCGCTCGATCGCTCGTCTCCCCTTCCTGCTTCCTTGCCTTCTTTGCTGGAGTCCACGGAGATATTTCGTCGCCCATGGTTGGTGACGCCGCCGTCGCAAGGGCTACCCGTACGCTGGCTCTGTTGACGTGCTGGTGTGGTGACGACCGTGAAATAGTAGATGAAAAAGAAAGATGCCAAGACAGAGCACTAGAACACATCGGTAAAGTTACGAGCAGAAAGCACGCATCGGGCAAAATCACGAACGGTCACAAAAAAAAGAGGCAAAATCACGAACGGCAAAAACCGAAGCGCCCAACTACACAGTGCCATGCACATGCAAAATCACGCATCAGTCTGGCAAAAATTGGGCCAAACAGGGCTCGAACCTATATTAGAGATACCCATAGCCCTATTTAATAAGGGCAAACAGAAAAAATACACTCTAATTAACTACTCCTAGTATACTAAATAATGTCTTAAACGATTTTCTTTACCGGTACGGAGGGTGCTTAGCGTTCCTTCCATCGTTTTCTTTATATTTTTTTTTAAAAAAAGAGAAGATATTATTCACAGTAAAAGCGAATGAGTACGGAGTGGTAGTAGTAAAATGTCTCACGTCTCTCGGGCTAGGTCTTACTTTTGCTCCCAACGTGCTTGAATAGTGACGTGTACTCACTCTGTCTATAAAAACATGTACCTATAAGTTACGTGTTAAAAAAAGTAATTTACGTTTGATCAAACTTCTACTGAATAGTATTCATATTTATAGCTCCAAATTAATTTATTATAAAAATATATTTCATAACTAATTCAATGATATTTATTTAATATCTTAACTATTGATATGTTTATATATATATAATTAGTCAAATTTAAGATATTAAAACGTACTGAATAATCCTGTGTCAGAATTGTACTTGGTTTGCTGCTTTTGACTTTGGGCTGGCAGCAACCGCACATGGGCTTCAAACTTCGGTACACGGGACGAGAGACTGACTATACCAGGGCCTTGTTTAGATACCCTCAAAATTCCAAGTTTTTTCATTTTTTCTTCATCACATCAATTTTTAGCTGTTTGTATGGAGTATTAAATGTAGGTAAAAAAAATAACTAATTGTACAGTTTAGTTGGAAAATCACGAGATGAATCTTTTGAGCTTAGTTGGTCCACGATTGGACAATATTTACCAAATAAGACGAAAACGCTACTATTCATCGGGTTGAAATTTTTTTCAATCTAAACAAGGCCCTGGCTACCTGCTGATATTTTATATCTCCCGTGTCGTGATTCAAGCTGCGGCGCTCGTGCTGCAATTGCTGATCTGCCAATGCGGTGATGCCCTAGCTCATGGCTAGATCTGATGCAGACGCAAGCATGCCAGTTCTTCGTTCGGTCTGCCGTATTGGTGCCAAGCTGCCACGATCACGTCAATCAGGTAACCAAAGTGCCCAAACCGCCGAAGGTTCGCAGCCTGTTGGCTACGTGGTATTTGGTTTATAAATTATGACTTACCAGTCAACGAGTAGTATTTTTCTCTCACACTAAATTAGTCAATAGTACTTTCAATCATGACTTATAAGCCAAATCAGCCCAAACGAACAAGGCGCTGATCATTTGTTCTTTCTTGAATGTTTTAATTGGTTGGTCAATTTATGAACCACGGAATTAAATAAGGGTCCTGCTATATGTTAGGTGCCTAAAATTTTGGATGCAATGATCTTATTCATTAGATCTTAAATCAAATGGCTTTGGAGCTTCTTCTTCCTTCGTTTGTTTCCTTCCGTTGTCAGATGCTTTTGGTTCTACGTTTCGAGGCGCCTACACTCTAGGAAGCGTGACTAAATAAAGATGGATTTAAAGGAGGACAAGGGCAATGCCAAAGCCAAAGCCAAATGTACATACTGCAATTTTATACAAGACAATTTTGGCATAAAATACATTTGCAATTTGTGTTCTTGTACATTTTGGTGAGTTGGTGATCACTGCATTTGCATATATATAAACTACTTTAATTTGAATATTTCTTTGTTATCATTGTTTATCTACTTTGCCGTACCTTAGTTTTATTTCGTCCTAGTCACTGATGGACGTCGAATATGGACATGAAAGCTGAGGCAGCACGCCAGTGTGGTGCGTTGGTGAAACCCTCAGTGATAAAATGAGTGTGGACGTGGAGATTTGGGACTCCCAGAGTTTTTAATTTCCCTTTAGTGCCTGTTTAGTTTCCAAAATTTTGCAAAATTTTTTAAGATTCTTCGTCACATCGAATCTTTGAACGCATGCATGAAGCATTAAATATAAATAAAAAATAAAACTAATTACACAGTTTAGACGAAATTCACGAGACGAATCTTTTAAGCCTAATTAGACTATGATTGACACTAATTGTTAAATAACAACAAAAATACTACAGTACCATTTCTAAAAAAATCGCCAACCAAACAAAGACTTAGCCGTCCCTTTTGATTTACTACCTATTCAGCTCATCAGCTGTTTCTTTTGATTTGAAGGTTCATATACATATATATTTAATACTAGCAATTGATTGTCCAAATTCACAACTGGCAGGCAATCTTCTATTGCCATCCGCGGATCAATCGAGGCCGTGAGAAATTTCTACGTTTGAACTAGACAGATGGCAACGGGTATGTTACCCGCGGATACAAGCCTCACAGAGCCGCACCCGCGAGAGAAATTGTGCGCCCGCACCCGCGCCCGCCACCAGCCACGGGTAGCATTCTGTGCCCGCACCTGCTATCCGCGGCCATGTCTTGCCTACGGGCATGCCCGCATGCCTGCCAGCGCAGTGGGACAGCGACCTGCACGGCGGGGACGACGGCCTAGGTCGGAGCCTCGGAGACTCCGAGCGGGGAGGATGGCGGCCGGCGGCCAGCGTCGGAGGCTCGGAGGATGGCGACCGGCGTCGGAGTGCGCTGGATCTGGAGAGAAGTCGCGCGTGGAGACTGGAGAGGAGGCGTGTGAGGTCGTCGGAGTGCGCTGGATCTCAGAGGAGTCGCGCGAGTGGGGGTAGGCGCCGCAACTGCGAGTGAGAGCCTTGGAGCGGGAAGGCCGGTGTTCGCTAGCTATCGGAGTAGGGAGGCCGGAGGCCGGCGTCGGGGTGGCACGAGTGGGGAAGGCGCGACGCCCCGTGTGACGGGTTTGGGCGTTAGGGGCAGGCGGCTGGCCAGGGACGGGGAGGGGGCGGCTTGGATGGGCGGCGGCGGTCACGCAGGGGCACCCCCCTCGTGGTCGTGGCCTCGCCCGCGTGATGGCTCGAGGCGGCGAGGGCGGCTGCCGGCCGAGCGCGGCGCGAGGTGAGAATCCAAGTCTCCGAGAGAGTGAGAGACCGAGACGAAGGGGCGGCAGCGGGGATTAGGGTGGCTGAGTGGGGTGGGTGTGGATTGAATCAGGAATAAACCCTAGAAATTGTGTATATATACATATATTTGCTCGTAGGTCCCACATGTCAGACATGTGGAGCGGGTATGGCGGATATGTGGGTGAGGATAGCAAATTTCTTTGTCCGCGAAGAACTATCCTCTGGGTTCAGGATGATGCCCACGCCCGTGCCCATGCCCGCGGACAAGAAGTGGCGCCCGTATCCTTGCCATCGAGTGCCCGTTGCCATCTTTAGTGCCCCTCCGCCGATCGCGCATTCTTTAAAGGCAACCAAAGCAAGCGTGTCTTGGCAGACAGAGCAGCACCTAGTAGCAGAGCAAAAGGCAGAGAGAGCCTCCAAGTCCAAGAAACACATCAACGCTCCACAAGCAAAGGCGCACTCGCATAAAAATAACAAAGGAAAAAAAATGCTCGCCACCTTTCTCCTCCTGCTGCTGTCCTCCCATGCCCCGGCGCCGGCGCTCTCGCTGCCGCCGCGACCGCCGGTGCGCTGCACCAGCACCGGCGGCTGCGTGCTCTCCAACGCCTACGGCGCGTGGTCCAGCGACCGCGCCGACTGCCCCGTGTCCGCCGTCGCGTACCCGGCGTCCGAGCAGGAGGTTGTCGCGGCCGTGGCGCGCGCCAGCGCCACGGGCGCCCGCGTCAAGGTCGTCAGCGGCTTCGCGCACACCATCCCGAAGCTCGCCTGCCCCGGCGGCGGGAACGGCACTGCCACCACGCTGCTCATCAGCACGGCGAGGCTGGCGGGCGTGGAGGTGGACGTTGCGGCGCGGACGGTGACCGCGGACGCCGGCGCGCCGCTGCGGGCCGTCATCGACGCGGCCGAGGCGTGCGGGCTCAGCCTCACGGCGGCGCCCTACTGGGAGGGCGTCAGCGTCGCGGGGCTCGTGAGCACCGGGTCCCACGGCAGCTCGTGGTGGGGCCGCGGCGGTGCCGTGCACGACCACGTTGTGGGCCTCAGGCTTGTCGTCACCGCCGGGGAGGCTGACGGATGGGCCAGGGTCCTCACGCTGCGCACAGGCGACGAGCTCTTCCCGGCTGCGCTCGTCTCCCTCGGCCTGCTTGGGGTCGTCTCCAAGGTCAGTGATCAAACGCATCACCCGTATCGTAATAATGGTTCAAAATCATGTCTCCTTCCCTCCCTCCCCCCCCCCCAAAAAAAAAAGAAAAAGTACATGTTTGTTTCAAATTTACTCCCTCCATCCTAAATTATAAGACGCTTGACTTTTTTTTGCCTCAAGTTTGATCACTCGTCTTATTCAAAAAATTTGTGTAAATATAGTTAAATTTAAGTCATTCTTAAAGAATTTTTATTAATAAACCAAATCACGACGAAAGAAGTGATATTTTACACAAATTTTTGAATAAGACAAATGGTCAACCTTGGTGTCAAAAAAGTCAAACGTCTTACAATTTGGTATGGATTGAGTAAATAGGACAGTTAATTTTTTTTTTCATGTCGTAAGTTATTTGAGCTCTGAGCTAAGGTCAAAATGAACCAAAATAAGATGCAAAACAAAATGAACCAAGCAAAAAGAAGGTCAAGAGAAGACCGTGAAGATCTAAATGCATACCTCCTTGGTTAATAAATATTGCGTCTTTTTATTCCTTATATATGAGCGACAAAAGGGAACTCTACTTTTAGCAACTCATAATACACGAATTGATTGGCTTAACAAATATTTCATCCTGTATCATTTAGTTATTATTACTACCTATAAAATGAGCTATGTGGTTGTTGGGAATTAAGTGAACCAAATGAATAGGCCATTATTGTCGTTGGTAGTGCACTCCCGAGACGAATAGAATTAGTGTTGGCCTACAAAACATGTATAAAACACTCCCTCTGTCCTGTTCGAAGGCGGTGATTGGTTTACTCTTCACTCTAAATCTAATTCTATTAGTCACTTTTTACCTAAACACTTTAACTAAATGGAAATAAATAGGTTTTAGCCGACTAGTCATTTAAATGTTGTTAAATGGAACTAAACTTCACCTTTTAATAAAGTTGCCTCACCTTTTAGTCACTTTGGAGCCAAACACATTGACTGAAAGGGACTAAAAGGCCTCTTTTAGTCTCTTTTTGTCCACCAAACCAAACAGGGATAATTATAAGACGCTTCGATTTTTCTAGATGCACTATTTTTACTATGTATGTAGACATAATGTATATCTAAGTACTACTCCCTTCATCCATAAAAGAATACAATTCTCGTTTTTCGAGGAGTCAAACAATTTGAACTTTGACTAAATTTATATAAAAAACTATTATTATTCATGATATAAAATAAGTGCCATTAGATTAGTTATAGAATATATTTTCATAAAAAGTTTGTTTGGAGACATAAATGCTAATATTTTGTACTATAAACTCGGCCAAACTTAAGTTATTTTGAATGGTACGGATCCCATAATTGCATTCTTTCCTGAACGGAGGGAGTACATAGCAAAACTATGTATATAGAAAGTAAAGTGTCTTATAATTTGGAGTGGAGGGAGTAGAGCCAGTCGGTTGCATTTTAAAGAACATGTTTTCTTAGAGAGATCATTTTCAAGGCTGCGTTCATCTACTTGCTTTGATCATAGATGTAAGTTTATCCAGGTTTCTACAAATTCACAAGTAAGCCTTTTTAACTTTGACAATCAATATAAAGATTTGTATAGGTTGGCAAAATAAGATTGATATTACTATATTCATTATGAAAAATACTTTCCCAATATATAACTTTTCATATAGTTTAGTTAACTTTTTAAAGTTTAATTTAGGATAAACTTAGATGAAGTTATATTGTGACAGGAGACAATAACTCCTAATGGGTTGTTCTAAAAAATTGGTCATGGGTTTGGTTGATGGATCTATACTTCTCCCTTTAGTAAAAAAAATAGTTGATGGTTTTTTACGAGATCTGGTCAACATTGTGAAAATTTAATTACCAATAAATTTTAAAAACTTTTGGTATGAAAACCTGAAAAAAATCATAATGTAAAATTGGCCTATAAAAAGGTTGGTAGCCCCATAATTTCACTATATTTTGTTAATATATTCTAGTGACAAATAATGGTTAAAGCTACACATTATTGGAGACCGGAGGAGCCTGATGCTGTTTGCTTGCAACAGGATGTCCTATTTGACATTAGTTGCCGTAATATCATTTGATGACTGTCTATTGACAAATGGAGTAAATTTTAGCTTGGCTTGAGAATTGTTATTTCTTCGTTGACACCGGGACCACGGGATTGAGGACCAGCCTGCATGCGTTCCCAAATACTGTATGTATGCCAGAAGAAAACAACTGCTCTGCGCTGATCCCGTTCATATCCAGGGGCCTGTTTAGTTCCACCAAATTTCTAATTTTGGCACTATGTAAAAAGAAGATTCTCCGTCACATCAAATTTGTGGTATATGCATGGAGTACTAAATGTTGACGAAATCAAAAACTAATTGTACAGTTTAGTTGTACTTTACGAGACGAACGTTTTGAGTCTAATTAGTCAATGTTTGAATAATTATTATCAAATAAAAATAAAAATATATTGTAGCTACAGTACCTTCGCCAATTCGGGCGGCGCTGAATCAGGCACCAACTAAACGTGGCCCAGGTGACTCATGAGTCTGGACAGCATCAGCCTGTTCGCTTGCTCGTAAACGATCGTAAATTTCCAATCAGGAACAGTGTTTTTCTCTCACACCAAACCAGCCAACAGTAAATAATCCACGATACGATACGGCCTCCCGAACAGGCTGCTTCTGTCTGGACAGCGTCCCGTTCAAATTACAATGATTATTGTTGTCAAAAGAACTAATTAATCCATTCAATAGCCGAGATTGCTTGACGGTGAAAAAAGAGTAAGATACTCAATGATTGGTTTAAGATTTTAAGGGTACTCACAATGCAAAAAAAAAAAAACCATGACTAGTTTCTAGAGCTATGGTACCAAGAAACTAGCGGCCTGTTCGTAGGTTCGATACGCCGCTTCTATTGATTTGTAAGATTAATTTATTATAAAAAAAATATTATATCATAAATAATAAGTTCTAGCTAAAATCAACCTGGCTGGAAAGCCCTGACCGAAATCAGCGAACACGCCGTAGGCTTTCCCGCGGAAAATTTTGTCATGGTGTCCTGATAAAATATTAACCAATCGTTCAACGTTTTGCTCTCTCGTCTAAGGATCCTCTGTGCAAACCACACCACACGGGTACCAGCGAGCCGAGAGGGGAAGGGAGGACTGGCGAGCCGGCACGGGGAGGCGGGCCGCGCGTGAGGCGAGCGTCTTCCAGAGCGAAGCCGCGCCGTCGCCGCTTCTGCTCGACGTGGTCTGCGGCGGTGTCGCAAGATCCCGCGGCCGCACGGCGAGCGAGGCGAACAAGGTCTGCGGCGAGCCTGCGAGCTCCGTGGCGGCCATGCTGGGTAGCGGCGGCGCGCAGGGACCCGAGGCAGGTCCGGCAAGCTCCGCCGGCTAGGCGAAGTAGTCGGAGGCGACGGAGAAGACCCGCCCGCCGCCCTGCCGGTGAAATCGCCCTTGCCGCCTTCCGAGCTGGCGTCCCCGCCGTCAGCAGGTTCCTTCCCGCGTCGCCATGGTTTCGTGACGCGAGGCGGGATCAGGTGCTCCATCCCGGCGTCACCAGCATCGCCACGTGCGGCGGCGTGGCCCCGAGCCCCCGACCATACCCATCAGTTTGTTGTTTTTTTCCTTGCGATCTGCCACTTGAGCACTCATCTTCGATCCCTTTCTCTAGCTAGCCTGTTTGCAACCGCGTTGTTGGGAGGTGGCCGTGTCTGGTTCCGGCCGGTGTCTTGGCCGTCGGCACCGTCGATGTCGTACTTGACGACATGCCGGAGCTGCGGCGACGGCTCGGGGGGTGGTGCTATGCGCCGACCGATTCGATGGTGGAGAGGAGCGAGATAAGGAGTGCGAGCAGAGGCGGACGCGGCGAGACCGGCGGGGCAGCCTGCGGGGACCGGCGAGCCGGCGCGGCGGCGGACCGGCGAGCCATCACGGGGAGAGCCGGCGCGGCGGCGGACCGGTGCTATGCTGATGTCAAATGCGGTAAGTGGAGTGTGGACTACAACTTAGTTGGTGGATATAGCACACGTAAAAGAAGTATATCTGAAGCACCTAATAGATTGAGATATTCGGATCTCTGGTTAAATAGTTAAATTCATTAATTAGTGACGAGCTAAAAAGTACCGTTCGCTGGATTTGTGGTTAGAACACTGTTTTTTTTACTGAAAAAGTACGGCCGAAAAGACAAACAAACACCACTATTATTGCTCCATTGCGTGAACCAAACAGTTCCATAGGTTACTTTTATTTTCATGCCATAATAAACGTCACCTGCTAATTAGTCGAGTCTTCTGAATAACACCCACCTGAATACAACATTAGAACACTGATTCTATCATCGGGCCTTCTTGTTAGAAGTAATCCTTTGTGTTTATTACAACATTAGAACACCTCTGCTTAGTGACTGGTAAGTAGACTAGCTATAGTATTGCCTCTAGCAAGTTTGCTGCTAGGGGCGTATTATATGAGATTAAGCAAGTTTGCTTCAAAAACAGACCCTGTGTCCTAGACTCCAGCTAGTCTTCTCTAATTGCTGAAATGTGAATCCAACAGGATCCCAGTTTGCTTGGTGAGTTGTTTTTGGGAAAGGGTTCACACGCAATCTAGATGTGGTTTGTTTCTCAGTCCTCACGCAATTTGCACTCTGGAAAGGGAAATGTTCTTCCTCGAGAAGTGCGTTTATTAAGTTGATTGCTAAGATTTCGTGTACATCTACTCAACCTGCGTATCATCGTGCACCCGACTGGCATTTGGTTTTAGTATTTTGGAGCTGGTATTGTTTTTGTTATCTGAAAGCCTGAAGTCTGAGAAGCATCAATTTGCACTTTGGAAAGGGAAATGTTCTTCCTCGAGAAGTGCGTTTATTCAATCTGTTATTTTAACAGTAACGTGTGATTGTTCTTGAGTGCCTTAGTCACGGCCTGTCAAAAACTCGAAGGTACCTTCGTTTTTTCTTCTACAAGAATCATATGATGCATCGCTTCTCTGACTAAAACATCTGGCTAAGCAAGTTAATTACAAAATAGTACCATTGTTCTGTTTTTGAAATGATCGGCTACATTGAATTTCCCAAAGGAAGCGTCGCTGGAAGTGCCCTTCCAGTTCTCTAAATGTGACCTATATAGATTTATATTGCGCTGACTGGCATTTGGTTTTATTATTTTGGAGCTGGTCTAAGTTTTTTTATCTGAAAGCCTGAAGTCTGAGAAGCATCAATTTTTTGAAAGAAATGTTCTGTATGAGAAGTGCGTTTATTCAATCTGTTATTTTAACAGTAACGTGTGATTGTTCTTGAGTGCCTTAGTCACGGCCTGTCAAAAACTCGAAGGTACCTTCGTTTTTTCTTTTACAAGAATCATATAATGCATCGCTTCTCTGACTAAAACATCTGGCTAAGCAAGTTAATTATAAAATAGTACCATTGTTCTGTTTTTGAAATGATCGGCTACATTGAATTTCCCAAAGGAAGCGTCGTTGGCACACCCTTCCAGTTCTCTAAATGTGACCATCTAGATTTATATTGCCCCAGTCAAGTTCAGCTGCTGCTGCTTCATCTCTTTGTTCAACCAATTCATAATTCACAATCCGAAAACTCTAACCATCGCAAATCAGATGGTTTTCTTTATTAGACACTAGTACCCTGTTAGTAGTACATACATTATCTTAAAAAAAAAAGTACACCGGTAGTAGCGAAGTGAAATGATTTTTGAGTTCCAACGTGATCTACACTGGCTGGTTGCATTGCAGATCACTCTGTCACTGGAGCCGAGGTTCAAGCGCAGCATCACCTACGACTACAGGAACGACTCCATCTTCCAGGACGACTTCGCCGCCCACGCGGCGAGCCACGAGTTCGCCGACATCACCTGGTACCCGTCCCAGCACACGGCCGTGTACCGCATCGACGACCGCGCGCCGCTGGACGCGCCCGGGGACGGCGTCAACGACTTCATCGGCTTCCAGGCGACGCCCATCGCCGTCACCGCGGGGCTCAGGGCGGTCGAGACCTCGCTGGAGCGGTCCAAGAACGTGAGGGGCAAGTGCGTGACGGCGGCGGTGGAGGGCGCGGCGAAGCGGCTGGTCGGCAGCGGGCTGAAGAACAACGGCGTGCTGTTCACGGGGTACCCCGTGGTGGGGCACCAGGGGAAGATGCAGACGTCGGGCTCCTGCGCGCGCTCGTCCGCGGCGGACCTGCTCAGCGCGTGCGGGTGGGACCCCAGGTTCCACGGCCTCTTCTTCTACGAGAGCACGGCGATGTTCTCGCCGCCGGCGCGGTTCCGGGACTTCATCCTCGACGTGAAGCGCCTGCGGGACCTCGCCGGCTCCGACAGCCTCTGCGGCGTGGACGTGTACAACGGCCTCCTGGTCCGGTTCGTGAAGGCGTCGGCGGCGCACCTGGGCCAGCCCGAGGACTCCGTCGTGGTGGACTTCAACTACTACCGCGCGTCGGACCCGGCGGCGCCGCGGCTGAGCGAGGACGTGTGGGAGGAGGTGGAGCAGCTGGCGTTCGTCAAGCACGGCGCCAGGCCGCACTGGGCCAAGAACCGCCTGGTGGCGTTCGCCGGCGTGCTCGGGAAGTACCCGCGGTGGGGCAAGTTTGCGGCGGCGAAGCGGCAGCTGGACCCCCGGGGCCTGTTCGACAGCCCGTGGTCGGACGAGGTCGTCGGCGGGGTGGAGGTTGACAAGGGCGACGGTTGCGCGCTGGACGGCCGGTGCGTGTGCTCCGAGGACAGGCACTGCAGCCCCGGGCAGGGGTACTACTGCAGGCCGGGGCTCGTGTTTACGGACGCCAGGGTCTGCAGGTACTCGGTGTCGCAGAACCAGTGACAGTGATCAGTGACCTTATTTCTTTCTTGGTTTATTAGAGCTTAATTGAAAGCTGTGAGCCGTGTGGATAATAGATTTCTCATTTAATTAAAGAGTGCTTGTAGCTATACATCATCATCATAGTTCATAATACAAAAAGGAGAATTTCTGTAATATTGGTATTTTAGAAATTAAATCAGTGAACATGGAGATGTTACAAAATAATGGAGATCTCAAAACTTGTGATCATCACATCCTAAAAGTACTCAAAATCAACATGCGACGAATCAGAATCAGCGTGACGCGATCCGGTTTTCCGTGCGGCGCTCTTGGGCGTGGCACCTTGCGCCGACGCTCCGTCGTCGCAGGCGAACTGGGGGCAGTGGTCAACGGCGGCGTCGGGGATGTATGGCGGCTGGGCGCTCCTGATGAGCGCCCAGTTGACGCCTTCGAAGAAGGGGTGCTGCTTCACCTCGGCGGCGCCGCGCCGGGACGCGAGCCGGTTGTGCGGCTCCTTCGCCAGCAGTCCCCGGATGAGGTCCCTGGCAGCGGCGCTGACCGCCGGCGTGTCGGGGAACCTGAGCGGCTGCGCGACGACGTTGAAGAGCGTGGCGCGGTTCCCGGAGCCCTTGAAGGGCGTGGCGCCGTGCAGGAGCTCGTAGAGGAAGATGCCGAAGGTCCACCAGTCGACGGCGCTGCCGTGGCCGTTGCCGCGGATGATCTCCGGCGCCAGGTACTCGTGCGTGCCCACGAACGACATGGACCGCGCGCTTGTCGGCTCGGCCGTGAACTCCAGCGACGACGGCTTCTTGCAGCCGACGACGCTGCCACTAGTCACCGTCTCGTCGTCGTCCAGCTTGGCCTTATTAGCCTTGTTCTTCTTCTTCTTGCCCGGGAGGATGCGTGGGAGCATGCAGCCGTGGGCGAGGCCACCGGCGCTGACACGGCCGGACGGGGAGCGGACAAGCGCCGGGCTGACGGAGCAGCGGAGGGAGAGGTCGAAGTCGGAGAGCATGATGTGGCCTTCCTCCCGGACGAGCACGTTCTCGGGCTTGAGGTCCCGGTACACCACGCCCAGCATGTGCAGGTACTCCATCGCAAGCAGCACCTCGCACGCGTAGAACCTGGCGGCGTCCTCGGTGAACCGCTTGCTGGGCTGCTTCTGGCGGAGCGAGTGGAGGTTGCCGCCGCAGCAGTACTCCATGAGGAGGCAGCAGAACTTGTCGGTCTGGAAGTGGGAGTAGAGCGTGGGCAGGAAGGGGTGGTCCAGCAGGCCGAGGATCTCGCGCTCCGTCTCCGCGCGGGCCAGCTTGTTCCGGCCGGCCAGCGAGCCCTTGTCCATGACCTTCATGGCGAAGAGCGCGCCTCCGCGGCCGCCGCCGCCGCGGAGCTCGACGAGGTAGACGCTGCCGATGTCGCCGTAGCCCAGGCGCCGTAGGAGGCGGAAGTGGCCCAGGCTCAGCGGGGGCTCGGCCGCGCGGATGGCCTCCCAGCGCTGCCCGTCCCCGCCGCCGCCGCCGGTGTGGCGCCGCGCGGGCACAGGCGGCGCCGGGGACGCCGGCAGCGGCGGGCAGTCTCGTGCCGCTGCCGCCGTCGCAGCGTGCGCGCCTTCGTCATGGCTTGCCGCGGCGGCTGATGGTGACGAATCCGTTGTTGTCGCCGTCGTCGTGGAAGAGTTGCTGGCCGTGGTGCCGTGGTCGTCGGTGTAGATCGGGTTGAGGCTCTTCCTGAACCCCGATGGCGGCTGGCGCGGGGAATGGATGAATTGGAGGTCTCGTCCAGCTGCGGCGACCATCCTCGGGCTGGGCAGCGTCGTCGGGTACGCGCCGACGGCGTCCAAGTCGAAGCTCCCGACGATCCTGACGTCCTCCATGATGCCGCTGATGGTGCTAGTCATGTAGTGTCATGCACGCACTCACCCCCTCGATCAGTACGTGTTCCTCCGCTACTGCTTTCCACGCTAGCTATCGTGAAGGAAAGGAAGAAAAAACAGTTGAGCAAATTTACCAAGTTGATCATCATCAACAGATCTGATTATCTCAACTGTTGGTTGGATGCCAACTTCTCTGGATCGGATTGGCCACCAAATTAACAAAGTACGTAAATCATGGCAAAGAGCGTTGATCAGAAAGTAGATGCACATATGACATGCCGAACGACCGAAGAGAAAAACAGAGTCAAAGGGCAAGCAGTGAACAACGGCCATATATGCATGCATACCGGGTGTCAGCAGGCAGACGAGGTTTGGCTCATCATCAGATCGAATGCATGTATCCGCTAGCTCTTCTCGCGGCCTGTCTGTCTGCAGATCGATCAGAGAAGCCTGAGCTGTATGTGGCTCTCGAGTTAAGGACGAGAGGAGGAATGAATGAATAATCCGACGACGAGGGGGCCTGTCTTGGACGATGGTGTTGGTGGCTGCCACGCCGACGCCCCACCCACTGATGACCGATAGATGGGACGACAAACGACGACGTGCTGGGAGGTGAGTCGTCGGTCGTGGCGGGATGGAAAGGGGAGATGAGATGATCACACACGAATGTCAACCGCGGCTGCTCGGTCGGTCGTTGGCGATCTTTCAGATTGAGATGCTGATAGGTAGAGGGTACTTACTGAACTTTCAGTTGGGGCCGGCTTTATTTCGCGATGAGACCTGCTAGTGTGAATTCAGACGGAAGAGGAGATGAGTTCATTCGAGCGGGCTCCCTCGACATGGAAGGAACTCAGGATGTCACTACTTGACTTTTCTCTCTCCTAAAAAAAAAATACTTGACCGTTGACGAACATTAGTGAATACGCGCGGCATGCATGTTCATCCCGCTGCTGACGACTGATGTCCCTTTGTCCCTAAGCCTTTTTTCTTGGGTAAAGTTTAGAAATTTGGCTACGGTAGCATTTTTATTTTTATTTGACAATTAGTGTTTAATGATGGACTAATTAGGCTCAAAACGTTCGTCTCGTAATTTCCAACCAAACTGTGTAATTAGTTTTTGTTTTCGTCTACATTTAATGATCCATGCATGTATCGTAAGATTCGATATAATAGCTACTGTAGCACTTTTTGAAAAAAAAATTTGGAACTAAACACGGGCTAATTAGTAGAGGACGACGCCTCTCTCTCTTCCATGTCTGGCAGGCTTCTCTTCTCTCTCCCACTGGAAGAATCAGAATTAAGCTGGCAGCAGGCTACGGCGCCTGAGCATTATCACGCACGCCACTTCCTCGGGCCAACAGGTTGCTACATACTTTCCATCTGTACCGGTCGAGTTGCGAGTTTTAGCACGACAACGACAACGTGGGGGCGCAGGCAATGCAACTGGCAACCCCACGAGCAAAGCCGGGCATGAACTACTAGCTCCTTCCATCTACAACGTTGAATAGTGATAGATCACAACTCTTTTTAGTAACCGATTATAGAATATTCTAGTTTCTGCATACATCCGTTAACCGAACTAGTTAGACCTAACCTCATTCTCCTCTAGTAGCCTCTGCCGCGGCGCCACGTCGACGAAATATGACCTAACCTCTAGGGTATACCCAAGGTAGTCCTCGCAAACCACAAACAAAGGCGGTGACGCCAAGACAAACACAAGGTTTTATCCAGTTCGCCGCCAAGAAGGCGTAATACCCACGTCCTGCGTCGATTTGTATTCTTTGTATATCAATGAGAGATAAGAGGGTCCCCCCCGCCTTATATAGTTCGAGGCGGGGTTATGATCTGAAACTAATCCTAGCCGATTATAATTGTCATATGCGGCCGGATAAGGATTCCTATTCTAACCGAATCGGGATCTTGATTGATCGCCAAATCCGCCTTGACTCCTTGCGCGGGACTCCGATCAAAGTTAACTGGGCATGACGTCGTCTTTTGGTGGACCGAACCCATCGATCCGGGCGGCCCAAGCTTAGCCATAAGGGTATAGGGGTTAATACCCCCCGCAAGGCCACCCCCACCTCCCTCCACCCCTTCACCTGTTTGCCGCCAACGCGTGCCACCGAAGCAGCAGCAGATGGGGGAAAACGGCGGTGGGAGCATTTATTCCTATCCCTTTGTACCCCCTTGTCTTCCGCGCGCCACCCACCTCCCTCCACCCCTTCACCTTGTTGTCGCCATAACGTGCCACCAGAAGCACGCGCAGTAGCGGGGAAGACAGCAGTGGGGGCATTTATTCCTATCCCTTTGTACCCCCTCGTCTTCTTTGTCCATTGAGCGGCAGGATTTGACACCCTAACGATTGTTAGAGCCGATTCAGTATATCTATGTTAGGGCGGCATTGGGTATCACTACTACAAAAAACGTTTTTACCAACGCTATTTTCACCGCAAGTTCGTTAGAAACCGGTGGTGATAATGGTTTTTCACCGCCAGTTTGTGGCTTCAACCGGCGGTGAATACTAGCCCTAATTATATATAACCGTTGACCACAAACCCTGACCCTAACTCCCTCACTCGCCGCCGCCTCTCCCCTTACTCACCCTCTTTGTCCCCACCCGCGCCCCTACTCCCTCCTCAACCGCCGACGCTGCCCCTCCTCCCTCTTTCCACTTGCACCCCTCCTCCACCGCTATCGCCACCACCCCATCTTCCCTCTCCCTACCTTCCCCCCTCCACCGTACCACCTCTGTCACGGCCCCCTCCTTCGCATAGATCTGGCATTCAAGCTCGCTGTATACATCGTCATCGATGCCAGGTGGTAGCGGACAGACATTAGGATGAGATGGCATGGATGGTTGAGTATGCATGACAACATCGATGGCACATATGGCGGAAGACACTTTTAATTTTTTTTTATTTGATTTTCACCGCCGGTTCCCTAGCAGACGATGGTGATGAAAATCCTCATCGCTGGCCACTTTCACCACCGGCAAGCAAAACCGACGATGGTGGGGTGTTTTTTTCCCGGCGGTGATGAAGTTACTGTGTAATGGTGTGTGGTGCTATGGTTAAAACAATGGATTGGGATGTTGATTTGATGAATCTGGAGAATTTAATGTGAGTGAAATTTTTCAGCCATGCTACATTGATTGATTTTCATGGCTTGAACGGCCCCATTATGATGAGATGGTGACGTTTGCGTGCATGACAAAGGGTGTGTTCCCTAATGTAGCCTTTAGTCATGTCCCTTCCTAGAGGTAACCCTTTGTAAGATCTCATGCCTCATCCCAACGTGTTGTTGCTTTCATGGTAAATTTTATGGAACCAAGAAGAAGTACATCTACTGTTCAATGGCATGACACTTACTAGGTCATTTGATTCGGCCATCGTTTGAGTTTGCCAATTCTGTAAGATTGACAAGTTGGTAGACAACAGGTGGACTTCCGTAACATGTGAACATGTGAGATGTTTTAGATTCACTATTCATCATCTTCGTCTTTTGTAGGAGGACGATGATGAGGTTTTAAAGTCTTTGGCCATATCTCTCTTCATGATACAAGAGAGGTAACTGCGTCAAAGCTATTTGTAGTTGATCGATGGTTTTGATATATGTTAAATTTGAAACCCAAGTGCTTAGAGCTTCCTGGTACGGTTCTCATTTTTATTTATTTCTATTCTATCTTTTGTAATGGCTGTGTATATTACCTTTACAAAGGCTAGAACTTTATTTTTATTAGATTTTCCTTTGTCTAAAACAGTTATGGTATAATCATAACACATTTCCTGTTGAAATTTATTCTGTTTTTCTTTCATATAGTACTTCTAAAATTAAGAAGGTCCTGGATGGACGCAAATGGTTTGGGCCAACAATTACCTTAGCCCAATCGGAGCTGAGCTATCCAGCCCAAACTTGCTTGCGGCCTGTTTGCAATCGATTGTTTTGGCTCAACCCATATCGGAATTCGGCCTTCAGCGAACTGGTGCGCAATTGGAAACTTTCTTGCGTATTCCCCTCCATCCACAAATAATAAACATATTTGACCAGAGAAATTTTATTTTTGACCCTTATTTTCTCTTATAATACATAGTCAGTTCGTAAAGAATCAATATCATCTTAGAAATATTTTGAACATAAATTTGTTGAAGCAAGTTTATGCACAAAACTTGCATATAATTTGACTAACGGTTGCTGTTTCCTTCTTCCTGCAGGTAGTCTCTTAGGACAAAGTGCTCTGTATCAATATAAACAGGCACTATCTTAGCTGGTTCATTAATAAAAAAGGAAGTGCGTTGTTTGTTGTAAGCTACTCCTTTCCTATTGGTATATGTCTGACAAATCAATTGCAGTTAGTTTTTCAGAAAGGGAAAATGTTGACTAAGTGCTCTATTTATCAAAGAGTTGCTCACCAAGTGTCTGATTTTGTCCCTTCTTGAGACCAAAGGTTTGTGATTCTTTGCTTCGTTCAGCTAACACGTGAAGTTATCCACACACCTACTGTTATGAACATCTTCTAAAGTACGAGTCTGACAATTCTTTGGGATTGACAAAGACACTATAGACATCTCATTATTGATGGCTATACCTCGCGTACTAATAAATGGTGCATTTCTCTTTCTACTAAGTCCATGATTTGAACTCAGTCAATGTAACCCACTGTAATGAAAAAAAAAACTATTAGCTGAACTACGTCTCAACCACATCTCAAAGATACTCGCTCTCGATTGATCTCTTAGAGCATCTCCTGTAGCTCCCCAACATGTAAAGAAAACAGGGAACTAATATTCTGGGCATGGCTTTTGTGAATCCAGACTAAACGAATGTCTGCCCAGCCAAGGTTAAGTTTGTGAGTGTGCAAAAGACAGTTGGGTTGGTTTTGGTTAGAGCTGGCTCCGTTCCCCTGCAGCAGTATCCATTATCCAATAATGCAAGCCTACGCAGATGCCAACTGTTGTCTGTACGGGGGCTAATAAACCACTGGCAATTCACCAACCAAACCAAATATGTGGTGGGAGAACAGATGGAAGTTAGGGGCTAGAGTATTAATGATATGTGCTAATCCCCTCATTATACATAGTAGCAAGCATAATAAGCTAACGCCTCATGATGATTAGCTTGCTTGTGCGTTGGTAACCACCAGCTAGATAGCTAGTATGCCATCCGTCCAAGTGATTCTTCGCGATCGATCATGCATGCATGACAGCTAGCTAGGCCGTGTTTGGTAAGCATGCAGATGCAGCTGATGATCACCCCGCTGGAATTCCTCTCTCAGATACTGCTACAAAGAATTGTGGTGTTCTCTCTTATAGGGATAAACAAAACACAGATGACAGACGCATTGATATATGTTGCTCTTCATTAAGGCAGCCATGGCGCAGGGCTAGCATTCAAAACCCTCTGCTGGCCACGCACTCAGGGGGCTAGATACTTCATTTTTGCCTCTGATCATTCTCTTTCTGGTCACAAACATAGGGCAATGACGATGACGAAAATAAAACACAACTCACATGCAACTAATTAGTCCATGTTTGAACATGATTATAATAAACAATAATATCCCAAATCCCTCCAAACAAAGGGGCTTCATTTTTGCCTCTGATCATTCTCTTTCTGGTCACAAACATAGGGCAATGACGATGCCACACAACTCACATGCAACATGATTAGCATAAACATATGTACTCCCTCCATCCAAAATAAGCGTAGCTTTGGGTGTTGTGCAGATCAAACTTTCTTAAGTTTAACTAGATTTATAAAAAGTATTAGCAACATTTGTACATCTAAATAAGTTTATAACAAAAATATATTCAACAAATTAATCTAATGATACTTATTATGCACCATACTTTTATAATGAAATAAGTTTCTTGTATATATTTAATCAAAATTAAAAGTGTTTGATTTTTCAAAAAGTTAAAGTAATACTTATTTTGGAACGAAGGGAGTAGCCTTGAACCCACAAAGGAAGCCAAAATTTGTGGCACGTACGTTAGGTTGTAATAATGTACTAGCAATGGAAGCAAAATTAAAACGCAAAAGGACATAGAAATCATTAAAGCTTTCCTAGGATCCAGATTAAACTACTTCATCCGTCCTTTGTATATATCCCTATCTTGCTTCTACTAAAAGAAGCTTCGTTGCATTGGAGAGCGTAGAAATGGCTTTGACACAAGTCCCACCTGACAATGGCTAGAGAACTGGTTGGTGGGTTAGCTTCAGGTAGTTTTTAGTGGAGAGATACGGTGGGATGGGATAATCCTAATCTTGATTGGAAAGATAGGACGATTCCATCTCGTGTTTGCTTAAAGGGATTGAGATCATTCCTATCATCTGTTTGGTCAGAGACATAGGAAAGTGAGATTTGACTGACCTATGGAACCCATCTGTTAGTATCTTTTTTTTGTTTTCCTTCTTCCTGTCTTCCCTATCGCATCTCCTATACGGAGTTCATCCCACGCGGTGGGGCTGGAGATGGAGCCCCGCGTTCTTGCGGCCCCATGCATTGTCGCCTGCCCACAGCCCTTCGTGCCGCTGCCGTCCACCGGTGACCGCGAGCGCCACTGCCGTTCGCCCGCGACAGACCCCGTGTCGCCATTCGCCCGTAGCACGACACCCTGCGACCAATAATGATGTATTTGTTTTAAAAAGGTGATATATTCCTATTTACAACTTTTTTTAGGAGACCTACTAGTACTAGACATCATTCTGATCCACACTTCAAAAGTACATGATAAGAAAGAGTATTTGATTAATAATAGTAAGATATTCGTCTTGTGTTTAATTATGCTACGTTCCAACCTTCTCGTTTGATTTGACGTAAATTCAAATTAAACACTCTTGCTAATTAGTTTGTCTTTTTTTTTCAATCAAGACATACTCCTGGAAAACAACCACAAAAAAAAAAAATCAATGATGTTAAATTCTACCTTCACGTGCACCTTCGAAAAACTACGATGACAAAGAACAATGCCATTAAATGTTGAAAAAAAAAAAAAAAAGCGAGAGCACCTGTGTCAAGTTGAATCAAGGATTTAAACTCAACTAAGCATGTTTCACTGTAAAAAGAATCTAACCAGTTTAGCTATATTTGGGCGCACTCGTAGAGCAGGAATCCTGGTACGAGCAGAGCACACCTCGTCCCTATAGTTCAGAAAGAAGAATTTCAGATCGTGGTTGTCTACTGGGATGGAGGCGAGGATTTTGAGCCATACGAAAAACAGGGGGAACACGGCAGCTGCGCGCCACGCTGGCCGCGCCAGCAAGGCCACGTGGTCGGCGGTCTCACCCGGCCAGTCCACACGACCGTTGCCTCTGGCTCCATACCTGACTGCTTCGAGCACCGCTCCTCGACCCGTCGCCTGTCACCGGCGCGTGGGTCCAAAAGCGACGGGGCCCACCGGCCGGTGCCGTATAGATCTACTAAAATATACGCGAAAAACAGGGGAACACAGCAGCGCCCTGGGCCGCGCCAGCGCGTATCTCGCGTCAATCCTGGGACACCGTCGGTCACCGGCTCGTGGGTCCAAAAGCGACGGGGCCCACCGGCCGGTGCCGTATAGATCTACGCCAGCGCGCCCTGGGCCGCTCGCGCGTATCTCGCGTCAATCCTGGGACACCGTGGCCTGGGGCCACCAACGGGCGACTGGCAGCGCGGCGCCAGCCGTGCCTGCCACCGGGCCACGTGCCTGCCCCTGCTGTTTGCTCCTATTCACGCCCCTGCCACTCGGGCGTCCCCTCCTTTCTCCGCCTCTCTGTCCCCTCCGAGTTTGGTTCGTGCACGCAGAGGCAGAACTGCAGAAGAGAAGAAATCTCTCTCTCTCTCGTTCTTGCTTTTGTAACTTGACTTGAAGAAGATCATTATGGATGGCCGTACGTATTAGGCTACTTACTACACCATCAAGCAAGATTGGAATGGACGTGGTAGCCCCTTATGCCCTATGAAACCAGAAGACTCTGTCTGATGCAGACATGCTGTAGTCTGTTGTTTGATGACTGATAAGGCCATGACAATGCATGGACAATTTGGTAATCTTAGAGCTAGGCAAGCTCAGTTTTTTTTTTTGGTCATCATCAAACATCAATCACGCTAACCTCTGCTGTGCTGGCGCTGTCGTTCCGCCCAGCCCAGCCCAATTATTAGCGCAGCGCAGCGCAGGCAGCAGTGGCATTCCCGCAAATCCCTCGCAACGCCAGAGCTCTTGTGGCTGCAGCCAGTCCTATAAAGGAACTGAGGGCGGCGTAACCTGTCCGCCATTAACACGGGACTGCCACGCCACAGCAGCGCGTCCACCTCACGTATCATCTGTAGCTAGCCCGTGCTGCTGCACCTGCCTGCCGCCGCAGCTGCCCTGTCCTGCCTTTGCCTGCCTGCCTGATTGCCTTGCATTCCCATAGCTGCCATGGATATCTGGAAGTCCAAGGTGCTGCCCAAGATCAAGCTCGTCTTCGTCAAGAGCGCCGGCAAGAAGGCCGCCGCCGCCGCCGAGCTCGTCAAGTCCTTCGACGAGTCCAAGGTCAGTTTGCATGCATGCCTCGCCGTCGTCTTATTCGATCGCCGCCACCGTCGTCGTCATTTTGGGTGACGTTTGTGCTTGACTGCTTGTGCATACAGGAGGGGATCAATGGCGAGTTCCAGGAGAAGAAGGCGGATCTACAGCCCAAGGTCGTCGAGATCTATGAGTCTGCCCCTGCACCACTCAAGGTAATCATCATATACTCCTACTATGTTACATTGTAACTCTTCAACATAAGTATATACGGCATTTCGTACTACGGTACGTGTCAGTTCAGTGATCTAGCTGCAGGCATCAACGTAATAAGGGACTGAAAGAAACTTTCTGTACGTGTGTGGCTACAGGTCCTGATCAAGCAGAGGAGCAAGGTGTCCGGGATCAAGAAGAACTCCGCCGCAATCACCAAGTTCTTCGAGGAGCTGGCCAAGATCGGTGAGTACAGTCGTAGGCCAGCAGAGTGCCAGGCACACAGCAAACTAAACACATCTCATCAATGAACAGTAGTTGCTACTTGATACTCCTATCTGTGTACTGTACTGATGACGAGGTGATCTGATCAGAATTCCCTGGAGCCAAGCAAGTGAGCGACGGCATCTCCAAGGTCGCCCCGGCCCTGCTGTCCGGCCCCATCTTTGCCACGTTCGAGAAGGTCTCCACGCTGCTCCCTGTCGCCGCCGAGGAGGCGCCGACCAAGGAGGCACCGGCCGCCACTGAGGAGGAGGCAGCCACGAAGGAAGCCGCCGTTGAGGAGAAGAAAGAGGAAGCCGCCGTCGAGAAGAAGGAAGAGGCGGAGAAGAAAGAAGAGACCTCTGCACCGGCCGACGAGACCGCCGCCGCCGAGACTGCTCCTCCTGCTGATGCAGCTGCCGCAGAGCCCACTGCGGAGGCGGCGGAGCCGGAAGCCGAGGCAGCGCCGGAGGCCGAGGCGGAGCCGGCGAAGTCCGAGGAGGAGACACCCAAGGCCTAGCTAGCTAGGGTTCAGGGTTCATCGATCTTGCACTTGCAGCCCCTAGCTAGCTAGCTGGTGTGCCGTGCTCGATCTACAATCACATCACCATCATCCATTGTTCTTGCATATATGCATGCACACAATGTTTTTGTTGCTCCGATCCACATGTTATTGCTGTGCAAACCGGTTAGATATTTATGTATGTATGTATATGTAAGCCTATAATTTTTTGCCACCACTTATTCATATGCAGTGTGAGGATATATGTGTATTATTGCCATTTTTGGTTCGACTCAATTATTCTTTAATTTGCTTCATTCATGATGGATCACTATGCCTATATATACACCCAGGAAATTAAATTTCAGGTCATATATTTATTCACGAGTACGTGATCATCATTAGCTTCTACATTTCAATAAATTCATGTATATATTTATGACTTTATGTGGGTCGTGCATGTGTATAAAATGTATAAACTACTTAGCAACAGTAATTGCAAGTAGTTGGACCTCCTCGGCTCTGAGGCGGGCCCTACCGCTCATGTGCTTGGTGTTGGTGTGTTGTTTTCGGGCCATAACTGGTTTCCTGTCGTACCGTTTGTGCGCTACCGCAGTACTGGGCCCCGTGTGCCAGTTTAGCGAGGCCCACTGTTGCAGTTGCAGTGCATCTGTATGTGCCGCATTGGATTCCTTGTACCAGCTGTGCCATGGATCTTGCTGTCCGCCTCCGGCACAAAATTGAAAGAGAAAATGAAAATGTATATACCGAGGAAAAGCTTGAAAAGATAGATGGGATAGATCGGCTGGCATAGATCGGTTGGCTGGCTCGCTTTTTTTTTCAGCAGCGTTTTTTTCTAAAAAAAAAATATTAATATAAACAGTAAAAGCAGTATTAAACAGTACTCTTTTTTTAAGTCCAGGCGAACAAGCTCGAGCGAGTTAAGCTCTTTCGATTTTACCAAATATATACAACAAAAAAATTATTATTTATAGTACATAATTAGTATCGTTGATACATCGTTCAATCTATTTGCATTAGTATCCATAATGTTATATAGCTATATTTTAAATCTCTTCATCCATAATGATTTTATTTTCTTCAAAATCAAGAAGATATCCAAATTTGAATCTGAATTTGAGATTTTTTTTTTTGCATTAGTATCCGACAATATTTGTATCCATATCAAATTCGAATTAAAATATGATAAATAGTGGTATCCGAATCCGTACCCGTTCTAATCCGATCTGAATCCATCCCTAAACACACTTCCTGTCTCCAAACTGTAGGTCACTTTTTTTTTTGAAGGGGTAGCAACAAATAAAAAAAAAGAACTTTAAAGTCTGTATCTTCAACCTTTAAACCTCGGCTTCATTTCATCGTTAGACTACATCATCCGCTTGGCGGCTTGGCCACCTGCACGACACCCAGCCTCGAATGTTTTTCAACCTGATCGTCTGCCTTTCTTCTTGACTGTTGCTGCATGGTGCGGCTGCTACTACGTGTTGGTTCATTATTATGCTGCTGCTGTCGCCGCTACAAAATGGGCAACCGATGAGACTGTTTATTTTTAGCTTTTCAACCTAAATTTTTTTTATCGTACTAGATAAATGCGCGTGCGTTGCATAGGGGCCAAATTTTTTTGGTTCAACCTTAGTAATTGGATGTGAACGTGTGAGCTATGAGGACATGGTATTGGATGCGGACATGTAGATTTTGTCTTTGTATTGGAATCGGGTAGGATGCGAACACGTGAGTTTTGAAGACTTTGTATCGCACGCGGACACATAGATTTGGTCTTCATAACATAACCGGGTATAACACAAACGCGTGTCGAGTGAAGGATGAGATCTTGACATGATCACTTGAAATCGATTAAATCCAGTTTATAGTGCAACATCTGTGTTCACCACAACTATCTAAGGTGAATTTGATGTAATTGTTATTTGCATATGTCTACTTTAGATAAACATTTTGTATCTTACTAAAACCGTTTTATTTGATTTTTATGAGATTGATTGAAATGGTTTTTTTTGTCGTATATTTTATTTTCGGAAACCATCTTTTGGGGAAATGTGACTTTTTTTTTTTCCGGCTGTGGATGATGTGGAAGATTTTGTTTTGAAAACATTTTTTTTGTCCACTTTATATCGGACGCGGACACATAGATTTGGTCTTAGTAATAGAACCGCGTATAACACAAACGCGTGTCGAGTGAATGATGAGATCTTGACATGATCACTTGAAATCGATTAAATCCAGTTTATAGCACAACACCTATGTTTACCACAACTATCTAAGTTGAATTTGAGGTAGTTGTTAAATGTTTTTTTTGGGAAATGTAACGTTTTTTTTCGGCTGTGGACGATGTGGAAGATTTTGTTTTGGAAACGTTTTTTTTACTGAGGAAGAGTTTCTTTCGTATTTTTTTTTGTTGTTGAAGAGTCCTGTTTCAGAAAAAGGTTTATTTTTTTGCCATATTTTTTTTCTGAAACTTTTTTTGGGAAACATTTTTTCCGGCTATGTGGACGACGTGGAAGAGTTTGTTTCGAAAACTTTTTTTTTGCCCGTGGAAGAGTTTGTTTTGGAAACGGATTTTTTTTGCCGTATTTGTTTTTGGAAAACGTCGCGGGGCGATTTTTGACGGGCGGGGCGGACGCAGACGATAGCCGTAGTGATTTTCTAGGTGTTGAGTAGAGATAGTCCTTTTAGACATGTCAGAAGTCATGTCGTAACTTTTAACTTCACACATGTCACGTGATTGACAATCTGAGGCACTCCAAAAGTCCAAAGTGAATACCATGACAGGCTGACAGCCTCTGTGACTGAGTGTCCGTGAACGTGAGTGTGAGTGGTAGGATAGTAGTTAGGTGTTTTGATTTTTTTTTATCTAAAACAAAGGAATTATGTATCTCCAAATTTCTTTAAAATTATTTTTACATTTTTTATAAGATCGAATTGACACCCCAAATTATTGATGTAGTTCGATTTAGGTAACGCCATATATAACAGTTGACGTGGCGTTACGTTAGCCAAAATCATTTTTACAAATATTTAGGGAGCAAATTAGGACTGTTGAAAAACCAATTATTCGGCTGGGAAGACAAATTGGAATTCGATGAAATTTAGAAGAGGTCAAGCAGGCTATTTTCTCACATTTTTTCCCCCAGTTGATCACTTGATCTACGGCCCAATACCAACCAGCCTAGCCCAAGCCCGGAAGAAGCGAAAAAAAAAAAACAGGCGCAGAGGAACATGCCGGCATGGGAAATTGGGAATACTGGAGATCGAGATGAGCAAAGGCGGCGACGGGCGATCGACCGAGAGCGCGAACCCTCTTTGCGTCTCTGGAAGCTTCCTTCAACTTGGAGCCGGCGCATCCCGCTCCATTAAAACCCCTCCAAAACCCAAACCCTAGCCGCCGCCACCCCCTTAACCAACAATACGCGCCCGCGCCGCATTCCCCCCATCAATTCACACTTCATAGAGGCCGATGGCCATGCACCGCGCCTCCGCGTTCGCACTCCGCCGCCTCGCCGCGGCGGCGGCTCCGAGCCCCGTGTCCCTCCTCGCCCCTCTCCGTCCGGTGGCGGCGGCAGCGGCCGCCACCAACACAAGATTTCTTCTGCAGCCTACGACCGCGGCTGCGGCTGCTGCTTTGTGCGCCTGGCGCGGTTACGCGGCACGCGGCGGCGCGGGCCGGAAGGCGGCGAAGGCGGTGAGCGAGGACGAGGAAGATGAGGATGAGTTCGATGCTATGGGCAGCGACGAGGAGTTCGACGGCGACTTCGACGACGAGGATCTCGATGAATTCGAGGACGACTCTGAGGATGACTCTGAGCACGAAGCCGCGCCCCAAGCGCGGAAGGCGCTGAGCTGCAAAGCTCGGCTCGCTGCTGCTTGTTGTGTTTGTTTGGTGTTTTTTTTTTTTGATTTTGACAAAGAATTCAAGCCGGAAAAACAATAAGTTAGAACTCAACGCATCGATCAGTATGGGTTGTGTGCTAAATCGCTTGTTGTAATCTCCTGTTTTGATTGGGTTAAACAGCAAAGTTTTCACATTGAAAACTTGTATCGCATCGAAGAACAGATCTTAGAGTACTGTAATTCGTGATTGTTGGATCAGTGGCATAATCCGCATCGTGCTTGCAGCTTCTCTCGTTATGATGTGCGCTCCAGACTTCCAAGCAAATTTGTTGAGAATAACTTGAGTGCCCTGTTTTTAATGCTTTTGTTACACCTGCTGCTGACGAGCCTGAATCAAGTGAACGGCCTGAGTCTGAAGCTGAAGGAAGAGGAGCCACCACCGGTAACAGGGCCTGCGCGCGACGGAAAGCCCAGGAGCATTGTTCGCGCGCGTCGTCCAGTTACTCTTGTAACTGGGCCACAGTGGGCTTGAGCCCTAGGCGTAGAGGCAGCTGTGCTGCTTGGCCAGCCCTCTCGGCAGAAGCCGATTGTATTAAAGGAGTCTATGGGCCGCATATCACAGTGGAAAACACGCCTGCTAGGCCTTGGCGGGCGGCGGAGAAACGACGGGTGTTCGGATCGGGTGTCTGCGAGAATGATAGTGGAAGCCTCTGACGTAAAAAGTGCCGGAGGTGGGAGACGAAGTGGAGAGTCTCCTCAGGACCTTATGCTTGAGCGAAGTGGAGACAGATGGGGTTGTTCTGGCCAGCGAGGAGAGGAACAAGCTGTCGGAGGTGAAGTGGATGGCAGCGGCGAGACTGCTGACCTCGAAGCAGTTCAGTGAGCACAGTCGCTGTTTTCGACGATGAGGGCGACATGGAACACGGCCAGAGAGGTTTCTTTCCATGCGATCGGTCAGAACCTATTCTTGGTCCAGGCTTTCTGCCTGGGAGACTGGAAAAGGATTATGGAGGAAGGACCATGGATATTCCGAGGTTACGCGCTGATGTTAGAGGAGTTTAACAGGGCTACACCTATCCCAGATTCATAAAATCCCGCCCCTGTACAGGATAGAAAAGATTATCTAGAAGCTTGTGGGGAAGGTGGGGGAGGTCATTGCGGTGGAGATGAAGGTGGTGTCAAGTTGCAGAGGAAATTTCCATAGGGAGAGGGTGAGCCTTGCTTCGACGAAACCGTTGGTCCGGTTTGTCACACTAGCTCCGGAGGAATGTGCGCCGATGCGGCTGCAAGTGAAGTATGCGAAGATGCCACGCTACTGCGCCCATTGTGATTTGATGGGCCAAGTTCATATGGAGTGCGGGTACGGCAAGTTTACAGATGACGAGCTTCAGTTCGGTGACTAGATGATAGCCGAGGTGACTCCTAGCGTGCGGGCGCACCTCATGTGCGATCAACCATGGGAGGCGAGCATAGAAGATCGAAGCCTTTTGAAGACCCGAGAGAAGTCACCAGAGCAGTTTTGGGGATCGAAGACGGGCGAGGGGTCGCGGTAAGGCATGTGGAAGGAGAAGAAGAAGGAGGGTGAAGACATAGGGGTCTCTTAGAAGAGGGGTTCGATGGAGGCGAGGCTAAGTCAGCTCAACCATCTGAGAAGGAGAAGGTGGTGTATAATATAAGGAGGCGGCTTATAGTGTCCCAGCGGAGCTTCAAAGGACACTCCACTGCCTCCACCTCAATATGTATCCCCTAGGGAGAAGAAGTTGAAGAAACTTGTAGGGAGCAGTCGAAGAGCAATGCAGAGGGTTTTATGGTGACCTCCAGTGCGGAGGACCTCCTGGAACAATGAGTTGCTTCAGCTGGAACTGTCACGGTTTGAGCAACGCTATGACAGTCAGGGAGCTTCGTGAATTTGTGAAGAGGTTTGCCCCGATAGTGCTCCGTGTACTTCAAACCCAAATCCACAAAAGCACGGGTTGAGTCGTTGAAAAGTACTCTAGGTTATGATAATTCCTTTGCTGTTAGTAGTGCAGGCCGCAGTGGAGGACTTGGTGTCTTCTGGAATAATAATATTAGAGTGAAAATTTTACCGTACTCGTAGTACCATATTGATGCAATTGTTATCGAGAACAGGAGGGAGCCGTGGAGACTAACATGTGTTTATGGGGAGGCTCAGACGACAGAGCGCCATAAAACATGGGACATGTTGAAATTTATTAAGGCGTCATCGCTTCTACCTTGGGTATGTATAGGAGGTAACTCCTAGCGTGCGGGCACACCTCGTGTGTGATGAACCATGGGAGGCGAGCATAGAAGATCGAAGCCTTTTGAAGACCCGAGAGAAGTCACCAGAGCAGTTTTGGGGATCGAAGACGGGCGAGGGGTCGCGGTAGTTTGTTTGGAGGGGCTCGAGAAGGCATGTGGAAGGAGAAGAAGAAGGAGGGTGAAGACATAGGGGTCTCTCAGAAGAGGGGTTCGATGGAGGCGAGGCTAAGTCAGCTCAACCATCCGAGAAGGAGAAGGTGGTGAATAATACAAGGAGGTGGCTTATAGTGTCCTCGAGCGGAGCTTCAAAGGGCACTCCACTGCCTCCACCTCAATATGCATCCCCTAGGGAGAAGAAGAAGTTGAAGAAACTTGTAGGGAGCAGTCGAAGAGCAATGCGGAGGGTTTTATGGCGTCCTCCAGTGTGGAGGACCGCCTAGAATAATGAGTTGCTTTAGCTAGAACTGTCACGGTTTGGGCAACGCTGTGACAGTCAGGGAGCTTCGTGAATTTGCGAAGAGGTTTGCCCTGACAGTGCTCTGTGTACTTCAAACCCAAAACCACAAAGCACGGGTTGAGTCATTGAAAAGTACTCTAGGTTATGATAATTCCTTTGCTGTTAGTAGTGCAGGCCATAGTGGCAGACTTGGTGTCTTCTGGAATAATAATATTAGAGTGGAAATTTTACCGTACTCGCAATACCATATTAATGCAATTGTTACCGAGAACAGGAGGGAGCCGTGGAGACTAACATGTGTTTATGGGGAGGCTCAGAAGACAGAGCGCCATAAAACATGGGACGTGTTGAAATTTATTAAGGCGTCATCGCTTCTACCTTGGGTATGTATAGGAGACTTCAATGAAGTCCTGCATAGAAATGAGCATATGGGTGTGCAAGAACGCAGTAGTGCACAGATTGTAGGCTTTCTTGAAAAGGTTGATGTGTGCGGTTTGTATGACCTCGGTTATGAGGGAAAGAAGTGGACGTTCGAGAAGAAAGTTGCATGGGGAGTCCTTTGTCATGTCAGGCTTGATCGAGCATTGGCTACAGCCGATTGGCGCTCGTGCTTTCCACTGGCACGGGTAACACATCTTACTGCAACGGCTTCGGATTGTGACCCCATCCTTCTTCGTTGGGAGCCGGGGGAGTGAGAGAGGAGGAAAAATAAAAGGAAGATGTTTAGGTATGAGGTGATATGGGAGTCTCATGATGGCTTTGCTACCAGGCTGGCTCAATCATGGCAGGACGCGGGAACGATGCATACACTGCAGGAGCTGCATGATAAAGTGGCATCCGTTGCTGGTTTCCTTGGTGAGTGGGGCACCCACACCTTTGGCCATGTCTATCAGGAATTGAAGGCATTTAATGAAGAACTCGAATGCCTGAGATCAGATCCCACACGAATGGGTGGTCTATCACACACTAAGATCAAAGTGGTGAAAGGATTATGGATCTGAACCATCGAGAGGAAATCATGTGGAAACAACGTCTAGAATTACATGGCTGGCTGCGGGTGACAAGAACACTCATTTCTTCCATCTGTGGACAAGACAACATAGGAAGAAGAATTGCATCTCCAAGTTAAAAAATCTAGATGGCCAGTTTACAGAGAGTGAGGAGGAGATGGGAGCCATGGCGACGTCTTTCTATAAGACGTTGTATACAACGGAAGGTACAACAACTATGGACCAAGTCCTTACACAGTCCCGACTAAAGTTACGGTGGTGATGAACGAGAACTTGATGATGGCGCCTTTTGAGAAGGAGGAGATCAAAGGGACTTTATTTCAAATGTTCACGACAAAGGCGGCAGGGTGCATTTTTTCTAGCGCCATTGGGATTTATGGGGTGAGGAGGTTACCACAATTGTTCCCCGAGTCTTGAGAGGTGAGGATGATCCATCAATTATTAACAACACATGCATTGTGCTTATACCGAAAGTGGAAAATCTGAAGGAGCTAGGCCAGTTTAGGCCAATCAGTTTGTGTAACGTTATTTATAAAATTGATTCCAAGGTGATATGGCAAACAGGTAAAGGATTGTTCTACCTGAAATCATCTCGAAGGATCAATCAGCCTTTGTGCCAGGGCGATTGATTACATATAACATCATTGCAGCTTATGAGTGCTTGCACTTTATGAAAAAGAAAAAATCTCGTGATAGCGGAAAGCTTACGACCGGGTGGAATGGGAGTATTTAAAGGCCATCATTATCCGACTTGGTTTTCACCATTTATGGGTGGACATGATTATGAGATTGGTAACCATAGTGTGTTTCTCGGTTTTGTTTAACGGTGATCGACTCGACTCTTTATTTCGTTCCATCAAGGGGGATCCGCCAGGGGGATCCAATCTCACCCTACTTGTTCTTGTTAGCAGCAGAGGGCCTTTCTTGCCTCCGAAATTCAAGAATTCAGTCATTGAACCTTAGTGGAATTAGAGTGACAGCATCAGCTTCGATGGTTAGCCACCTCTTGTTTGTAGATGATAGCATGTTGTTCTTCAAGGCCAATAGGGAGAGTGCGAATACGGTAAAGGATGTTATGAATATCTACTTCTAGGCCTCTAGGCAGCGGATTAATATGGATAAATTGTCTATACACTTCGCCAAGGGTGTCAGTGGAGGCACCCAGGGGGAGATTAGGGATCTCCTCGATGTTCACAATGAGGCCCTCAGTGAGAAATATTTGGGCATGCCCACAAATGTTGGTTCTCTTATTAGTAATGGAGCGTTTAGGTATTTAAAAGACAAGGTGTGGAAGAGGGTCCAAGGATGGATGGAACAAGATCTGTCAGCAGGCGGCAAAGAAGTCCTCATCAAGGCAGTGGCACAAGCAGT